AAAATACCTAGGTGCATGAATAAAATATAAGAACCGTATCTTTTATACAGGAAGAAATTGAAGAGAATATAAAATACTTGGGTCAGCTGTCCCCAGAATTAATTAATTAAATGTTCAAAGATATATATGATAGGATAACAAGAATAACAATAAAGAAGCAGTTCTTTGAGGCACATATGAAAAGGACAAGAGGCAATGCATGCTACAGCAGGCATGTGTACCAGAAAATTACGAGGCTGAATTTTTGTTAATGAGTAGTCAGAAATTGGAACCATTCCTCTATAAAGATTTCATCCTTTTCATCCATGAAGGTCCATTAAAGTCTACTGGACAAAGCCCTCAGCAATCCCTGGTTTTGAATTTAGCTGTGCTTTGACTTGTACCTGGTACAGATGACGTCTAAATGTTTATTCTAACTTAAAATAATCTTTAATTCTGTGATCTTTCTTAAATAAGGCAATTGTTTTTCTATACTTATTGAATGTTATTGATTTAATGTCCCTGGACATATCAGACTCAAAGGGAGTGACATCAGGAGTTCTTTAAATGTGGTATTTGAACTGTAATTTGGTTTATACATGTGAAATTCCAGGGCAAAGTGGAAAAGAGGTGTCTGTACAGCTTTCCTAGGCTAGTAGTAATAAGTGTCCTCATTCAGCTATGGAAGGTTTAGGGAGAATTATTTCCAACCAAACTTAGATGGCATCATCTTTGTATTATCAGCACTTTTTCCCTGTCTAGGAAATACATAATACGCATCAAGATCTCCTGCAGTTTCTGTATAGATCTTTATTTTGTAGATTTTAGAGGCATCCCATACATTTTTGCATTTTTCTTGAATGGTTTTGCTCGGTGTGCTGTCAGATTTATTGGCTCCTTCACAACTTGCGTTACATTAAGTTTTAATGATGAAACAGATCCCAGCTTCTGCTGTTTGTTTATTTGTTTGCTTCTTCACTTGTTTGTTTATAAAACTGGAACCTCCTTATGTTTCATCTGTATGGCTCAATCTGCTATCATCTCCACAGCATCAGGAATAAATTTACAAGTGCAGTTTTTTAGCCACTGATCTCTTGTATGTTTGATCATCGCAAACAGTTTAGCTCTGATGAGTCCTTGCTGTAGTACCCTTAATAAGATGCTTTTATGCTTTTCTAATATGACTTTAAAACAAGTCACTTTTACCATTTACTTATATGTAATCAAGTAACTTGCTTCAAAGTTTTAAATCAAGCAATATTTCAGCAATTTTTATGTCAGTTTTCAGAGTGCTGATCCTTTATGTAGTAGCAAGAAGTAGAGATCTGTCTTTGCAGGTTTTTTGAAATGTCCTTTCAATGCTTTTAATGACATTTCACACAAAACCATAGAGGGTGAATGCCAGAAATCAAGAACAATATGGTTACAATCATATCGTATTTGTGTTCCCCCCAGATGAAGAAAGGAATGATGAATCTGACTCAATGTTCTCAGAAGGCTAATTTATTATTTTATGATAGTATATTATATTAAAGAATACTGTACTAAACTATGCTAAAGAATACAGAAAGGATACATGCAGAAGGCTATAAAAAGATAATAATGAAAACTCGTGACTCTCTCCAGAGTCCCGACATAGCTTGGCCCCAGTTGGCCATTGAGTTAAAACAACTCATAGCAAAAACCAATGAAACAATCATCTGTGGGTAAACAATCTTCAAACACATTCCAAAGGAGCAAAACGCCGGAGAAGCAAATCAGATAATTATTGTTTTCCTTTTTCTTGGAGGCTTCTCAGTTTCCCAGGAGAAAAGTCCTGTGTGCAAGGGTTTCTCCAGAAAATGTGAACGCCACAACAATCATAGTCTTTTTCAAAAGGACTCAAAATTGTGCTAGCCAACCTGTAAGTCCCACCACTGCTGCAGTGGGTATGTCACATCTCAGAGCTGTAGGTGCATATCAGGGTTACACATTTAGCAATTATATTCTTCAACGATGTAATTTATGGAGAGCATTTCAACAGGGGTGAGAAATAGATACGTATCATGCCATTATTTCTAGTATTGTTACCTGCGGCATTCACATTCCCTGTATATGATTCCTTCTCCCAGGGTTTTTCTCCTGGGAAGCTGAAAGGCAGTGAGAGGCCTCAGAGAAAAGGAAAACAATTCTTATCTCATTTGCTTCTCCTGTGTTGTGCTCTCATGTGGAATGTGTTTGGAGATTGTTTACCCACAGGTCATTGTTTCATTGGATTCTGGTGTGAATGGTTTTGACTCATTGGCCAATCAGGGCCAAGCTGTGTCGAGACTCTGGAAAGAGTCGGGAGTTTTCATTATTATCTTTTTAGCATTCAGGAAGTATCTTTTCTGTATTCTTTAGTATAGTATAGTATTCTTTAATATAATATAGTATAATAAAGTAATAAATTAACTTTCTGATAAGATGGAGTCAGATGCATCTTTCTTCCCTGCCATGGCGCTCGCTGTGCATTTACAATAATTACCCATATTATTTTCAAACATATGTCAACCACAAAGTGGTGAGCTACTTTTTTCTGCCTCTTCACCTGATTTATGGGCAGTGTCTCCCTTTTTAACAATATTATATGCTGATGATTTGCTTTAATACTTGTGGACCAGAAAGATTATTGCTTTTTGCAGGGCACACTTGCTGAAACAAGACACAGCTCCCAGTCTGATGTCATCTGGCTACCTTTGAGCCAGTAACCCAGAGCCCTTTAGAAGTGTCTAAGAAAAACAAACATCTAGGGCATGATTCATCCAACCTATTTTAGACAGCAGCTTCAGGAGATGAGATGAATCAAGTTCCTGAGAACATTTGTGCTCTCAACTGAATATAGAGAGGGGTAAAACAACTAATCCATGGGAAGACCATTATGCTGTAGATTACTGGGTTTGGTCTGATGATTGCTGATCTTAGCCCCCTGATTTTAGACCAGAAAAAAACAGTTTTATCATTATTATTTCAATTGTTGTTTTTGTTATTTTTGTTATTAGAATTCTCACCATCATCATCACTATTATTGCTTTTACTGAATTTATATTTAAGTCAAGAGATTACTTAAAGTACTGATGCTCAGAATTATCATGTCAATGATATATTAACTTACTTACCTTCTTATAAAAACTAAAAGAAGATATTCTCAAACTGTTTTGTTGCTTAGCAAAATTGAATATCTCATAGCATGCTGAAGTCACAATGTTCTAGCACCCATCCTAGTTGCACTTTTTTATATGTTTGGTTCTGGGTTTGTTGATGCAATTTGGAAGGAGAATTTGGAGGTGACTCAGCTTTTTTGAATTTTCAGTGTAATTTCTAAGCAGACTGCATAAATTTCAATAAGTTTCTTTTTGTTGCAGTATATGTTTGAAGTATTATCTAGGTAAAATCCACAGTAGCACACTTCTGAAGACAGTTTATAGTCTGTGAATTTCCTATTAAATATGCAATAATAAGTGCTAATTTTATCTTTATCTTTACAGTATTTTATGATTGAGCTCTGTTTGACAAAATGATTTACAAATAATGCTATTCCATAATTTTAAATTGTATTGAAATAGAAAGTTATTCATTTTCTGCATTCAACATAACCTTGAGTAGCTTCTTTCCTCTCAGAAATTACTCTTTCCAGGGAATGAAGGATTCTCATAAGAACATTTTAGTCCTGATTATTACCTCAAGGCATATTTGCATGGATGTAAAATCTTATACAAATGATACAATGCTCGAGATCTATGAAAGATAATATTTGTAGCTAATAGTTAATATAGTTAATAAATATATAATATAGTTCATAAATCTTTGGACTCTTCTTTCAGATCATATAAAAATTGTTTTCCAGTTCAAATTAAGCACTAAAAGAGTATGGAAGTACATTTTATTAATTTCAAAACAAAGCTATGTGGAGAGGATAAATATCTACCTGGTAATGATACTGCAACTCTAGGTAGCTAAGCATTGCTTTAGGTTGTGAGAAGCAGTGTGGAACTACAGGATCTTATCCTCTGAGATTTCCCTACTTAAATTTCCATTTTTGTCTGTTTGCTTCAGAAAAGGGTACTTGTCATAGTAACATAAAAAAAAATAAAGCAAAATTAAGACTCCTTTCTGTGAAGAAATAGGTAAATACTTTTGTTAATTTCATAAAAGCCTTTGTTTAGCCACCAGAGTAGGAGGCATTTCTGATTCAGCTCAGGTTGATAGTGACTTGAGTGGCAGATTAACATAAAGGTCAAAGCTATTTCATAAAGCATTTGAGAATTTCTATCTTTCATTTAAGTATCATTTAAACATTTATCTTCTAAATATAAGAACAATTAAGCAATTTGAGATCACTATCACAGGTTATTTTTATCATTAGGTAAAAACATTTGTCCTCTAAAACGTTTGTTGCACATTAAATAGATTCTTCTGTGTTTAATTTGCAAATCAAAAAGTTTCATTGGTTTGGGAGGCACAAAAGAAACCAAACTAGATAATCATATTGATCTTTCAATTTTAATGATGTATTTATCTGCTTCTAATAAATGGAATACTAAAAGAATAACTCAACAAAAATAAATCAAATAGTTTAAAAAAATAATAAAATAGTTATTCATAAAAGTGCTGACAGGTGCCTTCAGTAAGTGTAAAATCACTTGAGGAGAAGTTAGACACTTCTCTAAAAGCCCTCTGTCATCAAAATGACTTCGGGTAATTATGCTTTCACAATAAAAATATATTAAATAAAACAGTAAAAGATCACCTAGCATTTCCTCCTGTCTGTAAGGTGATATATATTCATATTGTCTTACTTTTAATCTTTTCTGTTTTAATGGATTTAGGTGCTGACAACATTAATATTTGAATTGTAGGTGCCTCAAACCTACTTGGAAGCATGATTCAGATCTAACAGACTACAACTCTTTTATCTATTCTGCTGAACATTATTTTCAATATAAGAAACACTATTTGACAAATATTTGAACAGAAACATGACTGCATATAATTTTCAGTGGAATATATGGATAGCCTAGACCCATGTACAGTGCTCTATTTCTTAGATTTACCTGCATATTTAGGGGAAAATCTAGGCTTTCTCACACAGTGTCCCTATGAACTATGTGACTTCACTCTAAAAGGAGAAGAAAATAAAGTCTGAAATTTCACAGGAGCCAGAGCTACAGAAACTGTGGTGCTGCTTTATGAAAATTTTATAAAGTGGCTTCTAGTGAAGGCAATTGTGATGCTAAGTTTGGTGTTAGACCTTCGCTGAGTACTCCCTTGCAGTCTTCAAGCAAGAGATAAGTGAGAGTGGAGGAAAAATGTGCTGCATAGAAGATGTGTGCTGAGAGAACAAACATTCTCATCTAGTGTTGTGAATCTGTGAACACAGATTTCGTGGTTTGGTTTTTCTTAGAGGGAATTTCACTGTTTTCTGATTTAGGGGCATGTTTTCTATGGTAGGAAAACAGACATAAGCATTTGGGCTGCATATTAGGTCTGATTGCAAATGGGAGCACTGTAAATTAATCTGAGGTGTATTCTCTACTCCTTTTCAGCCATCTCTCTGATCCTAAGGCAAACAGATGGCTGAGGATTTCTCTGAAAGATTAAGTGCTTCGATATGAACATCTCTCAGGATGTAATTTACATGCTACTTGAAGCCTAACTTTTTCTTAATGTGATTGGGTTTTTTCTTCCCAAAATTATTAAAGTATAAAGGAACAAAAGCCATAAGACACAACAATAACATTTGCATCACAAGCTACTTGTTCCTACTGCGACATTGTTTATTTACTTATTACTCAAGCACTCATCATAGTTCCTCTAAGTATATCTTTGTCATCAATTCAAAGAAACAATATAATGTTATGATTCCTTAATTTTTAATGCACCTAAGTATGTTTATATGGGTCATAAAAGCCTCAGGGATAGCAGCAGGCTTTTGATAGATTGTGTTCTTCATGGCTACTTTCCAGCTGATCAGAGCTGCTGATTCCAGCAATATGTAAGTTCTTGACTACCATGATCCTGTATTTTTCTCAGTGTAGCTTCGGATACAAGGGTGAAGCTGCGTAGTCTCTCCTGCAGCAGTGCCAGAGTGCAGCCTTCTCTCCTAAACTCAGAGAAGACAGAGAGATTGGAGGCTGGTTTTTTTTTTTTTTCTGTGAAAAAGGAATGCTGAGATATTCCTATTCCTTTTCTAGTGGGTAGATTTGATTAACAAGGTGCTATTTTTTTTCTTTGATAATGTAAAAGCCTTTCCAAAGATTGATTTACTCATCTAAATTTAATTTTTTGAATCTGCTTAATCTAAACATTGGCTTACTATGTTGATTTTGTTAGCATAGATCAGTATTTAAGTGACTAAAATATATATGATTTAACACCTTTGAAGTTGTTCCTGGGATGGAATGTCCAATAAGAACTCAGAATCACAGAAGTTCTCTGTACTTAGTAATGATGTTCGCTCTGTAATGTTAGTGACAAGTTTACCTGCCATACTGTATCATCTTTGGTTTTTCTTTCACTAAAATATTTATTCTCTTCTGGAGAAATTACTGCTAAACACAAATATTTACTTAGAATCTTCCTGGGTGGCTGTACTTAGCACAGAAAAACTATCATGAGATAACATTTCACAGTTAGAGTATTCAACAACTTCCATTCTCTTTTTTCATTTTTACACAGTCCATGTCTCTTCCACATTGGAATAAAAAAAGACATCAGGGATAATCCATCTGCATTGAAAAGTGGAAAATACTCTGCAGGTTGTTCTTATTTAGGTGGTACTAAAATCTTTGACTTGTCAAAATTGTGTTGTTGACATGTTCAACTTCTGATTCACTGTAACCTCAAATCTTGGTTGTCTCAGACATCTTTTTCACTAAAAATTCTTTCTTTAGGATTTTCCCTTCTGGGAAGCTGAGGCCCCAGAAAAAGAATGTAAACAATGGTTATTTGCTGCTGTGGAATGCAACAGGTGGATTTTTGATTGGGCCATCTTGAATGTTTATAATTAATGGCCAATCAATCTCGGACAGAGTCCGAGAGAGCTGGCTTTGTTATCATTCTTTTCTTTTCTATTCTTAGCTTAGCTAGCTTCTGAGGAAACCCTTTCCTTCTATTTCTTTTTAGTATAGTTGTAATGTAATATATATATATACATATCATAAAATAATAAATCAAGCCTTCTGATCATGGAGTCAACATTCTCATCTCTACCTACGCCTGAAAACCCCTGTGACCACGGTCACACTTGGTCTTCTGCCTGCCTGGTTATTCTTCAGGCTGTGCTTTATTAACTGGATGGGCTTGCTCAAATAAGTAAATTGTATTATTTACCTACAGAATTCCATAACTATCGACATTTTATTAACATTTCACTGTAATAAAGTTACACTTCAGTATTTTCCTGCAGTATATTCATAGTCTCCTCCGGACCAAAGTAATCTAAATTATAGTAAGAAAACAATAAAAGCTAACAAGTTTTTTTCATAATCTCAAGACAGGTTCCTATGCAGTATAGCTTGATTTGTTTTTCATTACTTGCCAGTGCATTGCATATAACTGTTCTGCAGCAATGTTATCTAACTAGTCTTACATTCAACTGTAGCACTTTTATTTTTTGTTGTTTTCCTTCCTACTTCATGAGCTTTAATGGACTCAAAATAGAACATCTATTTCTTCCCCTCAACTGCAAGGCCTACTACTGTCATAGTAGACAATTACACTGGTCTGATATGCACCAGATTCTACTTGTTCTTGTTTCATTTTTTCCCAGGTCATTAAACTACTTTGGTTATGACTCCAGTGTTTTTCTGATTAGCAAAAAGAAGATACAAGAACTAGAATAATAGGAAAGCAGGTAAAAATTGGTGTGACTTATGGAAGATTTACTGAATAAACTTGACTATAGAGAAATTCAGAGGTGCTCAAGGACTCCGATTTTTCAGCCATCTAAATTTTCTAAGTAGACAGGTTGAAACTGAGGCATTTGCATGTGGAAAAGATTTTCCTCAGAGAGTTGTGAGTGCCAAAAAAAATGTTTTGATTCTGGTTTCATTTACACCAGTACTTGGGTGAAGTAAACAGAGAAAAGCATATAAAAATTGGGTCTGTGCTTTCGTTATCAAGCACCACCAAATTCCCTTTTGTCTTGTACATCTGCAAGTATGCTTCTATTTGAAATAACTGCAAAATAACATAAGGAAGGTCTTTGTTTTCTAGAAATTATTTCTTGGTGATCTCATGGATTTACATTTTGAATGGAGTTTTTATTTCTTATAAATAATTTACATTTTTAGTAGGTATATATTCTTTTTCACAGCTACAGATGATGGTACTTAGATTGTTTTGGAGAAAGGGTGAGAGATCTGGTGGGGGTGGAGGAGCTGTAGACAAAATGTTGCTTTGTCATTAATTGTGATAATCATGTCTTCCCAAATGCTCATGATGCTTTCAGCTTGTGAAAATTCAGCTGAGAATTTAACTTCCCTGTGGAAGCAGGGTAGCTTATATTAATGAGATTATTCTCCCTGCTCTTTGGCTATGCTAAGCCCAAACAATGCATTCAACTTTGATTCAAAGCCATTATTTTCAAAACACTGTCATTTGGAAATTAACAGTTAGGTGAAAATATCTTGCTACAGTAATTCCTTCAGGCTTCTCTTGGCTGCCTCAACTTCATCCCATCTGAAAAGTGATGTATCATCACCTTGGCAAAGATTTCAGATGCTGTGTTCCCAAAAATGAATGTAGCACTTGCATTCATTTTGCCTGTTGCTCTTGGTTTGCTTTTTTAAATTTTAAATCTTTTTGTTTACTTCTGATAGCTCCTCTCCTTCTTCTCCATCATAAGCAGTAATGAATGTATTCATATCTTCTCTTCCATAAACAAAGAAGTGTGTATCAACATTAGCAGTGCATAAATGGTTCAAAGGTGCTGAAATTCATGCCAGATGCTTCAGTGACTCAGTACCAAATGGTGAAATATGTGAAAGCTTAACAAGAGATTCATTTTTCTGTAGAAAATGTCATCTTCCAAAGGTCTTTTTATGTTAAGAGACATCATTGCTCACAGTTCCTCAATATGCAGAATCAAAAAGCTGAGCAGTCAGCTTACAAAACACAGCAATTTCCTTATGCTGCTTGTATTAAACCATGATTTTATAACAGTCAATTTTTGAGAGAAATTTAAGTAAGATACCTCACAGAAAAAGATTCTTAAGAGAATGGTGTTAATATGTTGATTGTTTGGTTTTTTTTCAGCTTTAAAGGCAAGTGTTAGTTTAGACTCTGATTTTTTTTATTCCTTACAGCTTGATTAAAAAAAAAATCAGTTGTCATTTGGAAAGAGAAAAGGCTGTGAAAGTTTTTAAATAATAAGTCAAAAGAAATTTAGGCATCATTCAATCCGATTGGAGGTTTGGTCAGTGCCTCAGCCTCATACCTGTGCCTCTTCTGGCTCATTTTAATTTCACTTTCTAAAAGATGGTGACTTATTTCAGCCAAATTAATTCAGTAAATAGAGAAGAATTGTGAATTTTAAAATTAATAAGCATTCTTTTCCCTGTCTCATGTGGTTTGCTCTCTGATATATGAAAGACACTCATATTTCACATGGACTCATGTCCTGAGACACAACATTGAATATCACATAGAAGATTATTTTTATTAACCAACATACTGATTGTTTAAGCTGTTTTAGTGGCCCTTAGGACACTTGGATAGTTGAACCTAAGTCCTACTTGATCACTAGTGCTGAGCTGCATCATGTCTTGATTTTAATGCATTTTTCATTTTTAGTCTTTTTCGACATGTGAAATGGAACACTAAAGCAAAACGTGGAGATTTGAGAACATAGAGATTTTATTTTTAATGATTGATGGAATTAAATACCATGAGGACAGTGCCAATACATTTTCTCTTTAATATGTGGATACCCACAGAAGTTACTGTACTTTCAACATTTAAAAAGCACCTATAATTTATAATTTTAATCCATTTATTCTGTACATAATATTTTCAATTTCCATGCAAAAAGGAGGAAGCAAAGTGGGTAGAGTCCTATTTCTGAGCAGTATCACTTATTTGTGAGACATTACCACATGGATGCATTGTTTCGGATGTAAATGTTATGAGGAAATGTGGATCAAGCAAAAGTTTTTCAAGTATTGGCATTTTTTTCTTGTAAAATTTAATGAAAATGTGATCCTCTGAATTAAAAGCTTGATATAAATGTCATTAAAATAGATGGAAATGTATCTATTAATTTAAGAAGTCTTTAGAGCAAGCATTTAAATGGCTTTTAATGCTTTTTGCTCCAGCCTGATGAGTATTATCTTCATTATACAGACGATGTTGTGAAGTCCTAGAAAAGTTAAATGTTGATTCCAAGACCACAAAAATGAGGCACTTGGAAACTCAAAAACTTATTAAATTAATAGTTTTCTATCTATACTTCATATTTATTTTTTATCTAAATAAATGAATTGTTAAGGGTAATTTTTTTAAAAAGGCAAAATATATTAAACTATTTCTTGATGTTTATATCATAAAAATCACAATCTGAACACTTTTTATTGAAAACAAAGAATCTATGTGGTTCTAGAAAGACTGTAGTCAAGAATTGTTAGATAATATTATGCATCAAAGTGAATAAGAAGCCCGTGTAGGAAATAGTAATATATTGATAAAAAATAATTTTTACAGTGGTCCTTGCTAATAACTGAAATAATATTTTCTTAGTTTTTTTCTTTGATCTCTCTGAGATACTGTTGGAGGTAATAGGAACATTTTCAGTGGTATTTTGACTGGATTGCTTAGATTAATTCTTAAACCAGAGAGAAATGCAAATAACATTATATCTATGGAAAAATTAGCATCCCAAGTTATTATAAAAAGTGCTGTGAGAAGAGAGGAGAAAGGCAATATGGAAGCCAAGCACTATAATACAGTGACAAAAAAGAATTGTGCAAAAGTGATGAAAAACAACACAAGAATATTAAAAATCATGCACCAGTGACTATTTAGCAAGAAGCCATCTAGGCAATCAGTTGTAATGGATTTAGATGAAAATTAAACATGAACTTACTCAGGAATTAAATGCACAAATTATTTATGTGCTTCTTAAAATATTCCAAACATGCCCATGTAAGTTATCAGTGCAGTATTAGCTATATTTACAATGCTATTAAATCTTGGACAAGGTGATACTGGAGTTTTGGAAGAAAAAATCCCTTCTCCCATGTGCTGCAGAGCAGCTTCCATTGAGGGGCTTTCATTCAATCTGATATGAACATGGACATTCCTGGAGCACTTCCTTAAAGCAAGGGAGGAAGGAGAGGCCTCTTCCCATTCCTCTTCATTGCTCAGGCAAAGCCTCCTTGGGCAGAGGAGTTGTGCGTGTCAAAGGAAGGAGGACAGTCTGGCCTCACCATAAGGAATTGACTTCAGGGAGCCAGAACAGTAATCCTGGCAATCACAGAATTAAAGAATCATTGAATGGTTTAGGTTGAGAGTGATTTTAAGATCATCTAGTTCCATCTCCCTTTCCAGGGGCAGGAACGCTTTCTACTTAACCCGATTGCTCCAAGCACCATCCAACCTTACTTTGAACACTTCCAGGGATGAGGCATTCATAACCTGGCCAGAAAAGTTCTTTTGTTCTCTTTTCCAGAGAAAACATCATAAAGTTTACACCCACTGTTCAAATATGCCTAAAGCCTTGACCTAGCAAACATTTGGAAAGACATGCTCACTCTCGAGGCTGAAGGTATGTCCCAAGTTGGGACCCTGGTCACAAGGGTTTGCAGGTGAGGGAAGAGACGAGAATGTTGATTCCATGATCAGAAGTCTTGATTTGTTATTTTATGACAAATGTTTTATGTTATATATATTACATTATGACTATACTAAAAAGAAATAGAGAGAAAAGGTCTCAGAAGGCTAGCTAAGCTGAGAATAGAGAAGAATGATAACAAAGGAGCTCTCTCCAACTCTGTCCGAGAGAGCTCAGTCCTTGATTGGCCATTAATTATACACAGCCAAGATGGGCCAATCACAGATGCACCTGTTGCATTCCACAGCAGCAGATAACCACTGTTTACATTCTTTTTCCCTTCTGGGAAGCTTTTTCAGCTTCCCAGAAGGGAAAGTTCTTAAGAAAGGATTTTTATGAAAGGATGTCTACGACACCATGTGTACATGGAATATGGAAGGATTGAAATATGATCTTGAGAGATGTCCATGAAGATGAACCAAAGATCAAAATACAAATGCTTTAAGAGAAATTCTAGAAACTTTGTAAAAGAAGAGAGGAGGTTAAAAATGTGGCATAAATTAATGACTCTCAAGTAAAATAGAAGTCATTTGAGATTTGTGCTTGGTTTTATTTTGACCCAATCAAAGCTTTAATCTCAACCTAACCATGGAATATGTTGAGGTACATTGCCACAGATACAGTCAAAGTAATATCTGTGGAATTTAGTTTATAAGTACGCTTGTAAGTCAAGAGAAATTGATTTTAAAATGAGTGGTATTCACACTGTATATCTATGTAGCTATACATTAGGTCATTTCTCACATTGACCTCTTGAATCTGCAGGGAAAATCCAGTTTCTCTGTAAATTGTATTGGCTTTAAGAGACCAAAATATAATCTGTTTAATTTTTCACTCCATTTAGGTGCCCAAGGCAATATATTTGGCTCTCCCAAAAAACACATACTGTAAAGCTAGGCTTTGAAAAGAAGGTCTAGAAAGTCCCAAGAATCCCAGACAGAAGCATAAATCAATATATTTAGTATAATTTAACTAAACTACTGCCGCCAATTTATGTTCAGAATCGCTTTGTCAGTGCCTTTACAAGAAACAGCCAAAAACTCATTGCCAAAGAATTGTCTGAAGAGGAATGAGATGGCAAAAAATTCTCCACTCAGTTTACTCATGTCCTTCACCATCTTCATACAGCACAATGTGTTCACATTACAAAAATGTAAAATAACATATATTCCTGGATTAAATGATGCAGAAAAAAAATTTCACAATTGCTTTACACTGAACTTTAAATCTAAATGTCAGGTTATATTTTGAAGACTTTCCATCCTAAGAAAAAACTTCTTCAAAGTCCAGAGAATTTTGTAGAGCAGAAAAACTGAGCTCAAACTCTCAGGTCTGATCCAAAAGCTGAACAGAAGTTCTTAAACGTATCTGATTATATCCTGGTTCATTTTTGCTGGTAGTAATTGTTCGCATTTTCTCTTCAATTTCTATAACAGGAAGAAGTGATACTGTGTCCAGATAGTAGAAAAGGATTTGGGTTTTAAATGGCAATATTTAGAAGCGAGAAAAAGTAGTTGGGGTGATTGTAGATCTTTAACACTTATCCCAAGTCAGTATTTGCAAGCAAACTGAATTTTTATTATCATATTATTATGCATATGTGTTGTGATTGTTGGAGAGGATTTGGTGTGTGTGTGTGTGTAGGTGGGGCGTTTCTGTGGAGTTTTTGTGTTTTGGTGGTGGTGAGGTGGGAGGGGTTGTGGTTTTTTTGTTTGTTTGGGAGTTTTTTTGTGGTTTAATTTAATTTTTTTCACCCTCAGGATCTTTTTTAATTCTAGCCTTTCTACCATCTCTGCTTTTTTAAAAATTATTTCCATTCTCAGTCATTATTTATATTTATTGCTACTGTGACCACAAAGACAGTTTGCATTTTTGCACTAAGAATTATTAGCAGAAAATTAACAGCTAATACTCCTTTAAGAAGGATAAGACATGTCCCTGAGGGCTGAGACATCTTTTGATTTGTTCAGCATCATCTTAGCTCTAGAAGCAGTAGTTTTGTTTAACACTGCTCAGTGGAGCACGCTCACCATGAGCAATGCTTAGACTGTGGCCCCAGAGCTTTCCTTGTTGCAGTCAATTTCTAGAGCAGTTCCCAAGCCCTGCTTTGCAGAGATGGTATGCTGGATGGCTGGGAGAAGGACTGACCCATGGCATTGCATCCTGAACTCCCTTGCTATCTAAACAGCAAAGTAAGGAAAGGGTTATTAAACTGATTTGCTGCTTTTTCTTATTTTCTGTTTAAGCTGCCATACAGAAGACTGGCTAGCTGTCATTTAAAACTGACATTTGATTTTCTATGACATTTGATTTTCTATGGAAGTGAATCTAGACACTCTCTGATAAACGCTAGGATAATTAATATAATACAAAATTTTCAGTTTTGCAAAGGCATTCCTGGACTACTAAAGGTCCTGATCATTTTTGGCATGCTGAATACTCAGCTGTTATGCTTTCCCTTGTGCTCATACATGGTTCTTCACTACATATAGTAACTCACCCATTATATTTTTTGGAGTTAGAGGAATTCTGCTACTATGAATGTCATATTTGTCTCAGACCCAATTTTTCTCCATCACCATCCTTACAAGGCTTGTGTACAGAGATTTTTTGCAGTGCACATATTCAGCATGGAAGAAGGCAGTCTCCTTGCCTCACTATTGCATCTGTTCTCTGTAGCAATTTAATTCTGGATATCATGAGTGAGGAGCCTCCTGTGCAGTGAGGCTCCCTACTGCACCGCATTGGCCAGGTTGTCTGTGAATTTACAAAATGGGCTTCAGTTATTATTTTCCCCCAAACCAAGAAAAGTAAAGCACTATGGTTTGACTTGACCAGAGATATACAAAAGAGCAACATAAATCATTTACTGTAAAAAGTAAAAGCCAGACAGTGCCAACAAACAAGCACAAAGTGTGGAGAGGAAAAGAATTTTCCCCTTAAAAAGTCCCCACCAAAACACACACACATACACAAGACCCTACCTGATAACCTTTATGATGTAAATACTTGGGTATTCTTTGATTACAATCCATTGGTAAGACTTGATATGGTAGTTTTCCTACATGAGACCTGAAATTCAAAAGATGTGAAAAAAAATGACAATTTTTTTTAACTTCAGAGCTTCTAAACCCTGAGCTATATATTTTTTTTCTCTCATTCTGTGTAAGAAAAATCACTGAAGTTGAGAATAGATATCAAAAGATATTTTCCTTTCCTCTTCACTCTGGCCAGGATTTCTCTCTGTGTTTGTGAATAAAATAAAAAGTTACAGTCTTTTTCAACTTGTTTTCCTATTTATATTTCTGATACCTTATGGTAAAAATTCCCTGCAGGTATAATGTGATGGCCAGTGCATTCTGCCCTGAAACCACTCTAAATAGCCTGGAAAGAATGAGGGAGCCTGGGGAGTGGAATATCATGCATGACAAGTCCAGCAGCTGGTCAGAGCTGTACTGGGCAGAAGCTGCTCAGCGAGATATGTCTCATGCCATCCATTCTAACAAAGAAAATCATCTCTCTCAGGTATCAAAAAAGTTTGGGAAATATTGCCTGCACTACCTGGATGAATTAATAAATTCTACTAACATATATTAAAACATAAAGACTCTTTTTTTTTTTTTTTTGTGCTCTCTTCTCCTTTAAAAGAAAGTTCAGTATGCTATATTTTTTGTTACTCTTGTGAGAATGTCTGAGCATGCAAATCTTTCAGATACCATGTAGAAACCTTGAAGTCTTTTTGGAAAGTCTTCCTGACCTCTTCTCATCCAGAATTGGAAGATTTGGGTCAACAAATCTTTACATCTTCACTCAGGTTCTAGTCCTTAGGGATCTGAAGACTTTTGAATAATTGAGTTCCCACTCTTTGTCTCCTCCAGTGGGAAACTACCAGGAAGAAAAATATTTCTGATTAAATATGAATTGGAAAGAAAAGAAAATTATTGAACCATAGACTGTCAGTAAAAAAAATACCAAGCCAGGCCTTTGTCACCCCACAACAAGCTTGAGATTCTGTAGTTCCAAATTAACTCAGTTTATTTACAAAACTCAACTAAGGATTCACTGGTATGAACACATACATCTTCCTGTGAATACTTACACCATTGCAGAAAAACAGGATTATTTGGTGCAAATAAAGGAATATTTCTTCAAAATAATATAATTTAAAATATTTTAAACAAAACTTTAAAGCGTATCATTCTCAAAAAGTGCTGAGTAAGTCAAAGGTTGATTATGTATGACTATATGAATAAAGCCAAATAAGAATTTAGAAACTGCTACTAAAATACATTAGAATGCCCAAAAGCTGTAATACCTCAATCTAAAACAAAGAGAATTTGCAAAAAACTTCTTAATCCTAATTATAATGGGTCATAACTCACATAAAATATTTGATTTGCATCTAGCTTTTTATTAATTCATTATTTTTCTTGATTCCTGAATCAGTTGCCTAACAATCTTTAATTGTCCATGCAATTGCTGTGGTTCCAATAGTTCCAAGGTTCAGTAAATTTTAAGAACACAGGTTTAAATATTAAATAATCAGCTAAGACATTAAATATACCATATCATAAATAATCATTCACCATCTTTAAGAGTATTTTTAATGGGAACAGCTATCACAATTGCCCATAGTTGGGAGGACAAATCAGATGAAGATTGGTAGCAATACCAGGATTTTTTCTTTGTACTCTTATGCTCTGATATCTGTTTTGTCATGCAGATTAAAATTACTGAAAACAAAATCTGAAATCAAGACACTTATGAGCATACTAGGAAGAAGAGCTGAAAACTATAAAATTCACCTATTTTCTTAGTTATGCAAGTTTCATTTTCTGTGAAGCTCTTATATTCTACTGATGGGCAATTTAGAAAATTCTTAGATCATTCATCACTAATTGGGAACATTTAATTTATTTGGGCAGATAAGAAATGTGAATGTGGAAACTGCATAGTTTTAAGACAGTCAAGAGCAAAGACAAAGACAACAGAGAGAAAAGAGACCTAAATTTCCCCATGCCAGCATGAGACTTTGGTCTGGCAATTAATCTCTTTGTTTTAATTTATTTTGTATCAGGAATAATTATATTTCTGTAATCTTGAAGGATTCTGAGATTCTAAATTTAGTGGTGCTCATAAGGCCTTTGAGAGGCTTTTTTGGTAGATGTTCTAAATTAGCACTATGTACTTACAAATATCCTCTAATTTTCTTAAAGGTTGATAATTCCTGGCAGCATTGACTCAATATTTTCTAGGGAGAAATGACTAATTAATTTTCTAATATTGTAGAAGCACACTAAAATTAATAACTCCTACTTAGCACATATTATTTAACACTAAAGAATTGCAGTGCTGTGTTTCAATACATTTGTCATATTATAAATATCTAATTTAAGTTTAAAAAGGATTAGGTATGAAATAACATAAGGCATAATATGGAAAATAGAGAAAATTGAGTCTACTGTTGATGGAATTGTAGGAACCAGGTATTTTCTTTTTTCCTTTCCATCACAACTCCTAGATGTTTCTTCCAGGAAAAAAATAAAAAAGGCAAAAAAAAAAAACTGAAGCCAACAAAAACCAAACATATAAACCCCCAAAAAGACCAACCAAACCAAACTTAAAGAAAAACAAATCAAACAAAAAAAAAAAAAAACAACACAAACAATCAAAAAAAGCACTGTAGTTATAGCCCAAACATGAACAATAAAGCAACTTCACTGTTCTGAAAACCTCCTGCAGCAATGATTGAACAGTTCCTGCCACATGTGGTTTACTGCAAACTCACTTTTCCTCCTTATTTAGACTCTACAAATCAGCTTTGTTTTGTAGCCTTTTCATCTTCTCGCAGTGTCCCATTTCTTTTGCTTTTTTTCAGCTGACTGGAAGCCTCTCCTAAATAAAATCCCTCACAGCTCTCCAGTAATGGATAATTGGTACAGAAAGGAACTACGGATGGGGTTTTTCATGCCATTCTTAGTTTTCCATGTCATCTGACTTTTCCCCTCCTTTGTACCTTGAAAATTAACATAATTACTTGTGGTTTCTATAATGAGTTCACCAGACTGCAAGTTTGATAAAATGAAATATAGAGTGATTGCATTTCAACAATACATATTTAAAATGTAGCAAATGTTCCTGAAAAGACCAGAACTAGCTGGAAAATAATTTCTTTTAGGAGGATATTCTGAGCAAAAACAAATTAAGCTTGTAAATGGAGAGATTTAGGAAAGAGGAATAGAAGTGTCTGCATTGTTTGGTATGGCAGCACCTCCTCAGAGTGAGATGCTGCCATACCAAACATGAGGTGTAAAAACATGGGAGACAAAGGGAAAACAGAGATTTGGAAGATAAAGAGGCAGCCAAGACTCCTCATAGGCAGTCTCATCAAAGGAGGTGGATGGGTCTTCTAACCTTGAGTTTGTTTCTGAAAAGCATTGCCTGGGGATAGGGTGAACCTAGGTAGTTGTCTTGGCTTCTACAGCTGATAGTAAACTTCAAGAAATCTTGAAGGTTGTAAATAAATAAAGTCATAAATATCATCTAAACCAAGATGCTGGATACTAGGATTAAATGACAGGGCATATTTTATTGTGTTACTTTTCTGTAGCACCCTGTCCAGCTGGGTAAGGGCAATAAAGAAGTTGACAGAACTTTGCTAAAATAAAAGCTCTTATTTTCATTTGAAGCTTGACTAGTATATAAAGTCAATTTAGGTAATAATGCGCTTTTATATTGTTCTCATTTCTCGTAAAGAAAAATATCAAAACAATTGCATGCTGGCAAATAAGTCACTTCAATATCTAAATTCAAGCAGTTCTAAGATCTCAGGTCTTGTGTATTTGTAACTCATCTGTAGAAGTCAGGCTGGTGCCTGACCCCCATAGTGAGTGAAGCCTACTCCTTTATTTATGAGTGGTTCTGCCAAGGAACAGATAGTGAATAGACAACCTATGACTCCAGGAGAGCACATTTGCTTTTCAGGGTAATAAATTACTGGTAATGATTTCAGAAGAGAGCAGCAGTGTCTACAGAGTCTTCTCCAAGATAGTAGAAAAATACCTCCTGATTTTATAGCAATTTCCTTCATTTGTCAATGATCTGTAAGTAAACCAGTTTCTTTGGCACTTATGTACATAGAGGTTATTCTGAACACTCATCTAGCAAAAGAATGAAATTACCATCACAATTAGCAAGAAAAGATCATTTGAGTTCCATATAGTAGAATTCTGCTTATTTATTTTTTACATGTCAACATTATCTTGTTTCCAAAAAATTATGCTATTCAATGAATGAATTATCTCCATTGCAGTCTCATTTAATTAATAAAAATGCAATTCTCACAGAGAAGAAACAGAAAAATATCCACCTTAGAATGGGCTTTCCTCTTCCTATAGAAGACAAAAAAATCATATTCGACTGCAGGTGTTTTATTTCTAGAAAGTAGTTCAGAATCATTAATAACTAGGTTATTAGAGAAAAAATAAAGTAGAAGACAAGATGTTAAGAGCATAGTAAAAGAGCCTGTTTTTTCTTCTTTTTTTTGGTTTATTTTTGGTTGGTTGGTTGTTTTGGGTTTTTTTAGCACAGTTTTTGCAGACTCTTTTTGAATATTGCAGTTTTCCAAGAAGAAGCCTTGCACTCTTTGTCTGAAGCCCACTGAAGGATAATAAAAACTGCCCATAAGCTTTTTATCAGATTGCATGAAAAAAAGTTTCCTTTTTCCAAAAAAGCCCTTGTATTCATGTGACATAAATAGCAAAACCAAAAAAAAAATTCTGTAAGTTTTTCACAACATTTCAGTAGAACCTTTAAATACTCTAATACTGATGTAGCACAAAAAGAAGTCAAGTGTTTTGGTTTTTTAATTAACATTGTCTCTTATTATTTGTTCTTGATTCTCATGTTTTGTGGTATTTCATTTTAAGTTCCTTACCTTGGGAGAAATTATTTACATCAAATTCTTAGCTTGTTCATTGGAACAAGGGTTTTAAATAAAATATTGCATGTAAAGGGAGTTCTCAATATTTTATCCAGTCCTTTGCCCTTCAGGTTGTGGAGAAAACCCAAGATCATCATTCTTACACATTTGTATCAGATGGGAAATAAAAATAATTCAATCTATAAGATGCCTTAAAATTAATGAGTTCAGGAGTTATCTTTTTTTTTTTTTCCCCAAGAATCTCATGACTTATTGTGCTTGGATTTTTTGAGTGTCTAGCTTTGACAGCAGAGTTAAATATAGATTGTTCATTCATTTCCTTCAATTTTCTTTCTAAAACTCAGCTGTCAAAATCTTTCTACCTATTCATTCAGGTTCTCATTTAACTAGCTGATTGCTTTTCAGAAAAAAACAATCAACATTTTACTTAGCTATAACTTAATTGTTCTAAATAATTTGTTTTGTTACAATAATGTAATAATGTTCAATAGTCTGAAAAACAGTTCCTTTTATTTTCTTATGTTGCTTTCATAAAATTTTATGCTCTTTTTAAAGAGCATAAAACTTTTAAACTTCTACTACGGCATTTTGCACTTCAGAATCCTTTTACTACTGAAACCATTGAGTGAAGAAGATGGAAACACCTAGAATGTGTTTAAAAGTGAAAAGTGTATAGATCTGCTAGTTTGGTGAGCAACAGGACAGGCTGCTTATGAGCACTGATAAATATTTCTAGAGAAAAAAAATGTGTAGCATTAATATAATTTAGAGGATAGAACAGTTTAGACAGACAAAACAGAATTACTTTTTTTAATTCACATTTTATTATCTGATTCAGTAAGTATTCATCTTAATTGTAAAATGTTAAAAATGCCCAGGGGGAAATAAACAATCTTGCCACTGAACTGACATTACAAATTCAGTCAAGCATACTGGGGAGTGAGATTCATCTACCTCTTCCTCTGCGTGTGAAAGGGCTTTCTAATCTCTACAATCTTTCTCTGTTTATTAATATAATATTTGATTTTGAAACTCTTCATTTCAGTGCTGGAAGTACCCTATTCTTTATTCTAGCAGAGGAAATGGAGTTTGTCCCTTCCTCTGATCAGAGAGACACAGTCATACCTTTACCCTTAATTGATCTCACATAGAATCTACCCAACACACAGCCCAGGTGCATTGGTAGAATCAATCATGCAGCTCAACCAGGGGAAGGGCAAAGTTCTGCACCTGGGGAGAAACAACCACTTTAGGCACTGGTGCTTGCTGGGGCCAATCAGAGGGGACACAGCTTTGAAGAAAATGGATCTGGGAGTCTTGGTGGACATCTAATTGGAAATAAACCAGCATATACCCTGGCAGAAAAAGAGTCTAGTGAAACATTGCCCCCAGGTTGTCTTGATATATCAATATATCAAGATAAACATCTCTTTATTCATTGCTAGTGAGATCACAGCTGAGTCCTGTGTCCAGTTCTGGGCTCCCCACTACTAGAGATACTGGGACATACTGGACAGAGTTCAGTGAAGGGTCACAAATATGGTTAAGAGCATTCCTTCTATGAAAAAAAGATGAGCTGCAATTGTTCATAATAAAAGGCTTAGGGGGATCTTACTAATGTATAGAAATGCCTGAAAGGAAAGCAGAAAGAAGATGGAGACTCCTTTCAGATCAGACTCCTTTCACTGGTGCCCAGGGACAGGACAAGAGGCAGTGAGCACAAACAGAGATGCTGAAGGCTCCATCTGAACATCAGGAAACAAATTTTTACTGTAAGGGTGACCAAAGACTAGAAGAAGTTGCCTTGAATTGTGAAGTTTTCTACCCTGTAGATATTAATGACCTGATATGGTCCTGGTCAGTTCTAGCTGACCTTGGAACAGCAGAGATTGGACTAAATGATGCCAAAGGTCACTTCCAACCTTATCAGCCTGTGCTTCTGTGACTTGCTATTTGTTGTTAAAACATTTCCAAAGTTTGTTTTTCAACTGGGTCTTGGTTTAGGAATTACATCTCAATGAATTTGAACAGAACTTATAAAAAGCGTGATGAAAATCAATGTTCTATGCCTCGTTATCTAAGCTAAGTAAGACTGAAATAACATTAAAATTTTTTTACAGTTGATTTTGATTACAGTTAGGTCCAATTCTATTTGAGTAAAATAAATACCTGGCCAATTGATTTTTTTCCTTGAAATGCTGATTTTCCTTAACAGTTGTCTGCAGTCCCTCCATTCATGTACCTTTTGAAAACAGATCTCTTATTAGAACATTTAGACTCATGATCAAAGGTAACTTTTTTCTGTAACTTTGTCTTAAAATAAATATCAGTGCCCAATATCTCTAATGTTCTGTTGATTTATGGTCCTCAGAACAATTTTGCTGTCCTGCCAATAATTCATTCCTATTATGTGTTTTGGGGGAAAGTGTTTTAAAACATAACCTTTTAGATTAAAAGCATCAATTAAATGAAGTAAATGTGCTATAATTACAACAGAGATACATGGATAGGTCTCAGAGAAGATTAACTTAAAAGCTAACTGTGAACACTTAAATGTCAGTTTAATTATTAATGCAAAATGTACTGTTTGTCACAGATGATTAAATACACTCCTAGATAGTAGTTATTCCTGTGCAAATAGGCAGGTGTTGAATATCCTGCTGTTTGATATCCTCCTGATTATGTATGTATGTAGTCTACTCCAGTGAAAGCTCTCTCTAAAGCTGGCTGGTCAGCCTTTATGCAATTTAACGTGTGGCATACCTACTTTGAGTGTCATGACATAAACTGTTGTTCCTGTACAAGAAGAAAGTTATGCTATGGATATTTCCATGGAAATGTATCAATCTTTAAATGTTGTATATACAGGTCAAAAAATGTTTGTGTTTAAGCTTTATAAGCATTAGATCTCAGCATTTGAAAATAAAAGTGTTAATATTAGGTCTGTGTTTGTTGTGCATGGCAAGGTTTTGGTAGAGAGGAGTTATAGGGGTGGCTTTTGTAAGAAGCTGCCAGAAGCTTTCCCTGTATTTTAGAGCCAGAGACACCCAGCTCCAAGCTGGATCCACTGCTGGCCAGGGCTGAGCCCTCTGTGATGGTGGCAGTGGGAAAAGTTACTGTGCAGGAGGAATTGCAGCTGGAGAGGGTAGTGAGAAATGTGGGCAGCAGCCCTGCAGACACAGGAGCCAGCAGAAGGAAGGGCAGGAGGTGCTCCTACGAGAGATTCTGGAGAGATTCCCCTGTATCCCTTGGGGAAGATGTGGTGGGACAGCTGTGCCTCCTTCCTGGAGCCCATGGAGGACCCCACATCAGAGCAGGTGTGGGGCCAAGGAAGCTGTGTCCTTGTGGGAAGACCACACTGGAGGCAATCTCCAGGCAGGACCTGTGGACCCCTGAAGAAAGTAGCCCCTGCTGGAGAGTTTTGCTGGCAAGGCTTGTGATTTGAAGGACTGCATATAATTTGTTCCTGTGTCAACACTGTCCTGTAGATTCTTGCCTTCAATTGCCTTCAATTTTTTGCCTTGCTTGTTTTTCTGATGCAAGGGCATACAATCATATTCCTTTTCCAGCCTCCACTTTACCAGGTTTTAAAGGACTGCACTCATTTAATACCAACTCCTAAAACAGGCCTTGTGGTACTCCTGATTGAAATTTTTATCTGCTTTATTTCAAGATATTTTTTCTTGAACCAGAGCTACAATACTTGATATAACCAGCACTGCAGATGGGAGTAAGACCTTAAGGTCTTTCATACTGACATAAAAAACTTTCTTTCTTTACTGCAAATACAAAGTCTGAAACAGTTTAAAATTGCCTTTGCTGTTTTTCAGAATTTTCTCGCATCAATGATTTCTAGTCATCCTGTAACTGATATATTTACCCATGTTCTTTTCCTCTCCTGTTTCAGACTCACCCTCTGCATTGTGGCAACAATTCCTGTTGTTTAGCCTTAAGTTCACAAGCTATTGAATTTCACTTCATTTCTATTATTACCATCCTCAAGGTCATCCAATTTTTCCTATATGGAAGAGAATTTTCAATTCTTTTCTGTACAGATGATGACTCCAATTCTTTTTAATCAGACAATCTCATTAACCCACTCTTCCACTTTGTGCCAAGGACATCAGATAGCATATTAAAAAGATTAACCTCATGACCAGTTCTCAAAAAGATCTACTTGTAAGCCTTCCCCAAGCTTGTTCTACTCTTTATTGTGCTTTTCTATATTTCTTGCTTTTCAGTTCTCCACAAATGCAAATATCTCCATATTATCCATTTTTCACCAGTGTGGCACTATCTCAGGTATTTAACTGATGCCCAGATAGGTAAGAGGCACCCAACTTCTAAGGAAAATGAAAATTCATTCTTTTATCAGTAGAAAATTTCTGCTAATCTAGACCAGTAAACTCATTCTTTTTTATGTATTTTTACATCAATATGCCAAGATAAACACCTCTTTTTTTAGTATGAACATTTAGAGGAGCAAAAAGGTTCTGGAATGGTAAAGTAATTTGATAGATGAAAAGAAAACTTGGACTGTTACCTTGCTTTATCTCCCCTTGAGAGTGAAAAATGTGGGAGACCTGTAAAAGGAAATGCACATGTGGTTTTCTGTACAGAGAGGTAAAAACTAATAATCTGCAAGAAAGTTCTTCTGTTAGTAACCAAAAATATGACAACCACAATATATTTCTGCGTCCTTTACAATGGTGGTCATCTCCTTTTAACCCCAGGTTTAATGAAAAATCTTTGATACATTCCCACCTTTTCCCCTTTCCCCATCCCCCTTTTTTCCTTTGTTCTCTAGGGGCTAGCCTGAGAAGCAAGCTGAAATCACTAGTAGATTGGCATCTAACTTGATACATCTTAGAAAATGCAATCCCTGCCTAATGACATGTACAGATGCTCATAGTGTAAAAGCTGTGACCCCTGGGAATTTATGGATAAAAGAAATACCTAGTCATGGCCAGCTAAACAGATGCAAAGGGTCATTCCTTTGATTCTTTTTTTCATTCTCTTCCCTGTGCTTAACTGGAAAAGAAAAAGGAAAGAAAAAAGCAAACAAGAGACAAAACCTCAAACCTTTCTCAAAAATTCTGTCTTGTCCTGCCGAGGTGTTAGCATTAAGTTTAGCTTAGCTCTGGCCTTTCCTGAACCATAGACTGCTTCTTACTAGAAGCAATAAATCATTACCACTGCAAACTTTTATTCTGCAGTATTATATATATAGAAACTAGACCTAATAGGCACATTGCAGACCAAAAAGCAAAGGAAATGTTTTCAACCCAAAGGCAAGTGATTTCAACCAGAGTTGTGTAATTTGCTGGTTTTGACTTCTGCTCTTCACATATCACATCATTTTCTTTGTGCAAAGTCTCATATTAGTTTGCACTACTTTTCATTTTCTCTGTGCAAAGTCTCAATATTTTGCATCTCTTTCTGAAGACCTGGCCTTTTCCTCCCTCCCTCCACACTTTGCATTATTAGGATGATTAAAAATATTTTTTAATTAATCTCTCAACAATAAGAACAGTGTTGGATGTCATTCTTGTTCAGTGAATTACCATAAAGAATAGGAATTCATGTAGGAAGGTCAGCTCCTAAATTAGATTTTTTAAAGATGGTTTTAATTGTTGCTTGGGCTGCGAGTGATGTAAAATTTCCTTTGTCTGCCATACTTAAATTGTTTTTTTATCACTGATACTGAAATCGGTGTGCTTTTATGGACTTTGCTCTGAATACTTAAGACATTTGTCTGCCTGTGCATAAGCAACAGTAGCATTTAGAGAATTTTCTCAAGAAACTTTGCATAACTGTCCATTTACCATATGCGATGGTAAAGTCCATAAAACTAAATAAAGAAATAGTTATGTGAATAGTTGTGTTGCAGTAAAAACTGCATGAGCTCTCTGTCCAATGCAGCCATGGTGACCTCTGTCAGCAGTTAGCCCTTCTGTGCCCTGCAATGGAACACACTGGGAATTCAAGGGAACAGCATGGCAATATCAGAGAATGAGAAACCCTGGCACAAGGTGACTGTAATCTCAGTAATTTCTCTAGATAATGAAAATTGCAAAAGGTTGTTTGTCCTGCACTGTAAAGGACAAGGTAAATAATTAATTACTGTAGAGTGCCCTGCAAGAAAAACTTTATTATGGTAAAAAAAAATGATCTTCTTCTTATGATTTTTTCCTTCTGTCTGCATTTTACACTTGTATCATTAGATTACTGAAGTTAAATACCTCTGACCTTTGAGTGGAGTTTGGAAAAAGAAACTTAAATGTGCTTTTAAAATACTGTTTTCTCCTCCTGATGCTCCCTGAGGACTTCATTTTCCCTCTTCCACACAGTGTTAATTATATAGCAGATTGATGTTCTTATGAAAATAGTAGTACATTTGGTGTCCTTTTCAGAAATCTGTATAACTATAAGCAATATTTCCAGTAATTACAGTTCAGTTGGAGAAAAGGTTGAAAAACATGGCAAAGTGTATAGAGAAAGGGTCGGAACAACAATAAGGCAGACAAAAATATCTCCTGAATACAGTGAACTTTTGAGACCCAGTCAAATCTATGCTCTTTTCTAAATGGTAGAGGTCTCGGGGACTCTTTTTTAACATTTGTCATTATTTCTCTCATCAGTGTTATGGAACTGAACCTGCTGTTCTCACAGATGACCACACAGCCCTGGAAATAGCATTACTTTTCTTGTCACAGGACAATTAACAGTAATGAGTTTGGGAAAATTCTATCTCCACAGCTGAAGAAAGTAATATCTTTCACCAGAACTTGACAGAAAAAAAACTCTGAATCCTGTGTAGGAATATTCAGAGTATTTTATCACAGTTTGGGACAAGCAAAACCTTTAATTTCTTGCTTTTTATAGTATAGTAAAATTAGGAGAACTGTGCAAGAGCCAATCCTGACTGAGATTAACTCAGGGTATACTTTTACAGAAGGCATATTGAATTTGACAGTCACAGGTAAAAGAACTTGCCTAAAGTATTAGGAACATGGTAATAAACTGCATTTATAGAAATTTTTTCCATTAAGGAAAACTTCCATCAAAGCTATATCACAATAAGTCATAAATATGTTTTTTATTTTGGGAAGAGAGAATGGAATTTTTTTTAAAAGAGTTTGTTAATTATGATTTAAATGCTTGAAGTAAGGAAAAGCATTTTTACTAACAGCATAAGCAGTTGTTTTGGCTTGCTTCTGTTTATGCCTGTGGAAATGTCTAGCAAGCTTGCAGGCAATGGGAGGAAACATGATTTATAATAGATATAAAAGCAAAGTTCCACCTTCAAGCTTGAGGGCAGGAAATAGGATTGTGGCTGAGCATAAATGTGCCTCACAATTTGAGCTTTGTTTCTTCTGGTGCAGTCCCATGGCATCAATGCGTTGAAATCTATGGTAGAAGTTACCCCATAACTAATTCCTGCAAATTGTGTGATTTCATTTAGGGCTGAGGTTATAAGGTTGCTGAACAGATCCCTGTGTGTTTCAGAGGAAAAAAAAATAAAGTTTCTTCTGTACCAGAATTATCTGCTGTTTAATCACTCTATAAATCATGACCCCTTCCACAGAGTGAGTGGATATTCCATGGTTGCTGGGCTCTGTACCAGGGCTCACAAATCATGGTCGTGTTCAGACAGTGCAAGTCTTGATGCAGGACTAAAGGGAGTCAGTGGGATCTTTCACTGATCAATGATTTGCAGTTGTAGGCTTCTATGGAATTCAAAAGCCACCTGCTGGTGTGTCCCTTTGGGGAAGATGTCAATCCAATTAACTGTTAAGAGGTTCAGCACATGAGAAATGAATGTGTTCAATCAGCCTTATTTTGCTAGCACATACAGTGTCTGTATTTTCTATTTTTGCCATTAATTAGGAAGCATTTGGTGATACAGGGTATGCACCATTCAAATTTGCAGAGATATCTGCTGGTATTTTTCTGATTTTTTAGTTCAAGTATTGAGACATAAGAATAAAATTACAGATGGATGTTTAAAAATAAATACTAATGTCTTTATAATTCAGAATTATTTGCAAAATTCATGTCTACAGGCTGAATGGATGCTTGAAATATAGAAATAACCAATTAGAAATGTATAAACTACAATACTTTTTTTCCAAAATTTCTTCAAAATTTAGATTAATCACATATATATTATACTTATATAATTACATGCTTCCTACCATAAATAAGCATAAGAAAGATTAAAATGAGGATGCAATAGAAAAATATAGTGCATGCTCATAAGTTAATGATGAAAAAACCACTAATTTCAACCGGCTAATAATTTTATTCTCTATGTTTTATAACCTCAATGAATATATGTTGGTCAATCTTGCTAAATTAAGAATAAAAATGGGAAACGGATATTTAAATTAAAAATATATGACCCCTATAGACATTAAGGGTGGTTGAAGTGTGAAATTTTATTTCACGTGTTCTGATAATCACAATTCTGAAATGTTTCAACCAACTTTATAGCTTCATATGTAGGGATGAAGATATCACATTTTAAATGTTAAGTTATATTCTTAACTGAGATATCTCTGGAAGAGATTATCAATGAATCCTATTTTTTTTTTAATATGCTATTTGGAACATCATGAAGAAGCAGAAGCATTGGTCAGGAGAGATACACATTAGTGGAAAGAGGCCTTTGCTTTTATGCATATAACTAAGAGAAACAATAGCCCCTGTTCCTCAAAGGTCTTCAAAAGAGACCTTATATCTGTTTTCTGCAGTTTTCTGCAGAAGTAAAAAACAATTTAATCACAGTTAACCTTAAAACACCAAAGGCTATTCTAGAAGGCTGTTTCTGCCAAATGACCCCCTGCATTTCAGGAAAAATAAAAACACCTACTTGCAAAATCACTCTAGCACAGAAGAGTAGGAAAATGTCATCTGAGGGAACATAAACGTGATGGAAATTAAGGTGGTTAACAAGATTTTCTTTAGTTCAAGTGCAAGGATAATCACTGTTTCTTGTGGAGGTGGAGCAATTATTACCTTGGGTTGGAAAGGATTTTTTTAAATGTTGAGGCAGAAAAGTAGCAGTTCCCTCTAACCTTGTATTCTCTTTCCATCTGCATCCAGAGACATAACTTTGCAGCAAAATTAAGACAAACATGGAGATAATGTAGAAAAACATTTGCATACAGAGAATTTCTGCTCATGCTTCTATCAGTAACAGAAAACTTGTAATGATACCAGATACATGACAGATTTTGCTGATTGCTTTCATCATTGATATTAGAACTGAAATGTACAATTATATATATATATGTAGGTTTATAAATTGTAATTTATATAATTATAAAATGAACAGCCTCCATAGGTCATTCAGGAAAAAGTACCCAGTAGGGAGCAGTAATGACAGCACCAGCGTAATCCTTGTCAGGAACCTATTCCAGTGTGGGTCCTTCCTTCAGGGAATATTCACTGGCTCCATTGTTGGGTCCTTCATGGGCTTCAGTGTGGATGTCTGCTCTGGCATTATTCCCTCCCTGGGCTGCCAGCTCTGGTGGCTGGAGGGCCCCTTCCCTGTCCCCTGATCTGTTTGCACTTCTGCTGTTCATCCCACACAGGCATTGAAAATAAATTAAACAATTCCTTCTAAAAATATTATTTATAGTTGTTATAGTTATAGTTATAGTTTTAGTTGTTATAGTTTTAGTTAGTTATAGTTATAGTTATAGTTATAGTTATAGTTATAGTTATAGTTATAGTTATAGTTATAGTTGTTATAGTTTTAGTTAGTTATAGTTATAGTTTAGTTTAGTTATAGTTATAGTTATAGTTATAGTTATAGTTATAGTTGTTATAGTTATAGTTATAGTCATAGCTATATTATAATTATAGTTATAGTTAGCTATAGTTATAATTGTTATACTTTTAAAGGAAAATAAATGTCTATAAGGTGTATTAGGTGTAAGGGGGAAAAAAATGGCCTTGTAAAACTGATGCAAATAGTCTAAGAAGTGAGGATAAAGCTCTAAATATGATGTATTCTATGTCACAGTAAGCTTCATAGGAACAGAACTCAGCATTTTCGGTTTAGTAATGCAGTCTTCCATATTTTAATGAGCATATATGTTTTATAATTTTGATGTTAAAGTTCTTGGAAAAAATTGCACAGACTCTATGGTGGTTCTGAAATATTTTTCTTACACAAAATCTTCAGAAATTTGAAGATACTGGATATTTTGTGTTTGCACAATTAGCATTTCTGAATTGCACCTTTCTACCGATCACATACAATAGAAACACATGAGAATTTAAAATTTTAAACAAAAGTCATGAGCTGAAGACAGAAGCTAAATTTTTCACTTCTTGATTTCTCAGTTGGGGAGCTTTTTTTCCTACTTGCCTTAGGGATCGCTTACAACTGTTACAGTGCAAAGAGAGACTTGAAGAAAATGGCAGTGTGACAGAGTCGATCACTGCCACAGCAAATCAGGAAGTGTCAAGGCGACAGCTCTCTCACACTGAACTCTACTATTGATCCAGAGTCAAGCAAAATGCATAAACCCCCTTAAACAAACCCCAGTGACAGGCAATCAGCAGATCCTGAAAACCAATTCAAAGTTACTGGTTTCCACACAAACCTTAGAAACTGGCCAGCAGACTGTTGAAGTGAAAACATGTCACCTGATGTTTCAGCTTTTCAATCCACGGTGGATAGCTTCAGTCAGTGGGGACAACTAATCAATTACCTGGCATGAATAATGATGGACTATCAGAAACTTTCTTCAAACTATTACTCAGCTGCTAAATTGTGTTAAAACATGACATTGATAATGAATGCAGTGCCATGATTTGGAAGAACTGTTGCTTGCAGACAGCAAGGACATTTCCCTTGCCCAATATACATAAATTTTAGCATAATTCATTTTGCATGTGACAGTGGAATACACAGGTCACTACAGGAGTTAAAGCAAACCAAAAGTAGAAGTCCAACATTGTAATATGAAGTCCAACGTTGTAGTGGTCTAAGATAAGCTTCAACCATGTGATTATGAGATCAGGGAAAATACAACAGATTTTTACAGAAATTTTCAAAATATTTAAATGAGATTTTAATATATAAATGGATAGTTTACTTGCACATGTCTGCTGTTCAAGTTTTTATTTTCTACAGGTATACTGAAGAATAGTATAAAGCAGGGTGAGACTTTAAAGGTATTTCAGCAATAGGATAGCTGCGTCTAAAGGATTAGGGACTGGTCATGTGGACAGTTTTGTGTCACAGTGGAAACAGAAGTTACCTCATTTGAGGCTTACCTTGGGGACTTTCATTCCAGTACTGTCTGTTTTTCTGTCTAAAGCAGCTTCTTAAGACCCACCTAGAACACATCATGTCTGTTATGGATGTGCACAAGGGTGGCTGGTAGGAGTAAACAAACAGCTGTCATGCTAATTTTCATTCAACCTAAAACATGACATAGCAAATGCACAGATGAAGCTGCACATGTGAAGAGACACTGAATGAGCCATCCAAATGTTAAAGCTACAGTAAAGAAAAAAATCTGAGCTCTTCACAGACATTCAGAGAATCAGCAAAGTAATCTTAATCTATAATCCTTGTGTGATGTAATGTGCTTTGGTCTACCGGCAGAAATCATGCTGGGTCAGCTCATCCCAGTTATGCTTCGGGTTTGTTCTTTTCAATTCTACCAACTCAGAATTAAGGGGAAAAATTAAGTGGGTAAGAAATATTAGACTGTTACTAATAAAAATCTTTACCCCTTTGATACATTTAAGAATTTGCAGAAATCAGCAAGTAATTTGGAAAAGTTATTGTGAAGAAAACAGACTTTACTAGTTGTATTGACCTTAAATCTTTAAAAAAACCCCTGACACTGATAAAAAAAAGTCGCCACAAGTATGTTGCTAACTAAATGAGAAATCCACCTTGCCCATTAGTTTGCTTGAGGAATGGTGGTTATCAGTGAAAAGACCCCAGCTCAGACAGGAAAAGTAAATGTGAACTGGCAGCTATCCAGAGTTGGGTTTGTGTGTGTGAGAGCAGGGCACGTGGCACATGGGTTCTGGATCAGGATTGGCTATGCTTTGTATCTAGTTTGTTCACTGCTGCCTATAATTTAATTAATTATATTACTGACAGTTTTCTAAATTAAAAAGGACAATTTGAAAAACAGCATAATGAAGTACGGTATACTGACACATTCCTGCCCTGAAAGTAATAGGTTTTTAAATAAAAATATCTTGGATAAACTAAACCTTATATAAGATGGCTATGTTATAAAACAGTATGTGAAATTGAATTACTCTCCTGCTATGATGAGTTGGAATCACTGATTTTGCAGTCTGTGTTCAGTATTAAGGGCTACACAAAATACTCAGCTGTGCCAGGGAGGATATGAGGAGATTAGAGAGACTAATATATCACAGACTAACCTCTTTGCTCTGGACATTCACAGGGACACAGGCAATTCTCATTCTGCTGCTTTCTGGAGCCACTAGATATCAAAACAAACAAAAAGAAACCAAGGTTATAAGGAAAGCTGAAGTTCAAGGTAAGCAACTCTTTTATTAGTTATAATTTTCCATGTTGAGCTGATTTTCCATACTGAATTGTGAATTTAAGTACCAGCTACAATGTTTTAGAAAAAAAAAAAAAGAACATCACTGGTTGAATAGCTACCAGCAGCAAATAATTCATCTTTTTTTTTTTTTATATCTGCTTAGTGGAATTCCAGAATGATATTACTGTTGATCTCAACATTTTGGAATTGTGATAATAAAGGTACTGTGGTAAAAATTAGAATAGTATTAGGAGATGCTTATTCCTTGAAAAATACCAAAAGTCTCCATTGATACATAAAAATCACATGCTGGAAAACAGATAAGCCACACAAATAATTTTTTATTTTCATAAAATCATAAGTTAAAGGGAAATGTAGTCTTATATAACATAATATTTTATCATAATTATTTTTTAAAAAATAGGTTAATAGCAGATAAAATCTAATTAAACAACACTTTTATGGCTTTCTCCCTTTTCCTAACAGGAGACATATTCTTTTTTATTTTCTTAGTATTTTAGGAACACAAACTAAACTGCAAGACTTATGTTAAAATTTCTGATTCTTGTGTGGATTACCCTTTTCTGGCTGTGTTCTCCATCAGTGGTATCAGGAGTCCTGTGAGGACCTTTAGAACATCATGAATACAACCTATAAACAGTAAAACAGCAACTCCACATTATGGAGAGAGTGGTGTTTCCTAGAGATGTTCACAAACAGTGAAATAATTGTATTTCAAACTCCTACTTGAGGAAGGGAAAAGAGAAAGAAGGAGCAATTACCAAAGATGGTAGTAAAAACTGAAGAAAAATACCAACTTCAATCCAAAATAACAACTTCAATCCAACTATTGCAGTCTTAACTGTTGCATAATACTCTGTGCAAGCATACAGAGAAGAGAACAATCAAGTTAGTCATATTGCTAAATGCTACTGTTTTGCATTGCTAAACTTTCATGCAAGTAGGAAAAATGGTCCTAAAAATAGTTTCAAGTAAGTTATTTTGATCTTTTTTGAAAGTACTGTGATCCTCATTTACTAATTCTAGAAATTTTTAGGTCTTAAAAATATCTGGTGAAGAGGTACAGCACTTGACATTTATCATTATTTTAAGAAGTAAATATGAGTCAAAAATGCAATTGTGACAAAAATTTATTAAAGGCATGAATCTTTATGCTACTTATAATTAATTTACAGAAAAAAATCCTAAATGTAGATATAAATTAAGAATTCTCAACTAGAGATCAATAGAAACCAAGTGACAACAGTAGGAGTTTAAAATTGAACAGGACTTTGAAACTCTTATTTTAATGTTGTATATAAACCTGCTCCTACTGTAAGGGAAACTTTATGCTTATGCCTACAGGGTTTTGTCCAAATGCACTGATTTTTAGCAAATGGGCTATTGTATTTTTTTTTCTTTTTATGAGAATAAATATGTTCTCAAATGAAGTCCTAGGCAATTTAGAACCAAATGCTACAAATAAGTCAAAGTGGTAGTCCTCTGGTGTTTGTGTGATCCTCATGGTAGTAGTAAAAAATGTTGCTACCAGCTGAATAATTCAGAACTTCATAGATTTACCAAAGGCAAGTAAATGAGTCAGGAACTTCTGGTGAGGAGTTACGAAGGGACTTAACTGGGAAGGGATTTGAAAAAACAAAATAAAATTTTAAAGGGGAGCTAGTCCTTAGGGAGGAACCAAGTCAAGATTATGGAAACATAATATAGAAACAGCTCAAAGTTCAAACCTGAGACTGGTGGGAGTTATTAAATCTTGGCCTTTCGAGAGCTTTGTTTTGAGTTGTTTTTGGAAGGAGGTAACTTCAAAAAGTGGGAATTTTGGCTGTGTTGTATATTTCCTTAGTTTAATTTTATTTTGTGGGAGCATAGTCAATAGCAAACATTTCTGGAACAGAATTTGTCTGTGAAATTTTGGTTTGAAAATGATATTGGGGGAGAGTTACCTCTAACACAGAGGAAAACATTTGAATGGATAGAACTCTTCTTCCATATTATGCAGCAGGTTAACTCAGAAAGTAAACCAGTGAAAGCCCCAAAAAGTATCTAGATCATACTTAAAAAAGATGAATCTTAGATTTCAAAGTCACTTTTCTAGGTCAACAGAAAGAATATAAAGGAGAAAAGAGAACATCCGTTTATTTAGCATAGCACTGTAGATGCATATTTCCTCTTAATCTTTGCATAAATCCATTCTTTAATGAAAAAATGGGATTTTTTTTTTCTTCTCTACAGTCATAAGACTATCAAAGACACTGTGGTAACGGGCAAAGTTGAGAACTCAGTTAGGTCATACCCCACCACTCCCATCAGAACCCGTGGGGAGTGTTCAGCTGCTCTTTGATTTTCTTTGTGTGCCTTCTGAGTTACATCTGATTATTTTTACTTTTATTTTTGTAAATGTAGCACAGGTGTTAAGGGAATTACAGATAGACAAAATGATGACTTAAAGAAACTTCAGGGCAGGGGAAGAGGAAAGATGAGATGAAAGAAGGAAGAGGATCCATGTGGGAGGGAATATTTGCTTGTTTTAGCTGAAATTGTAGATTCATCTGTCATCGTATCCTCAGAATTTCTTTATGTGAATTAGTCCAAAGGACTTCAGGAACTGTTAAGAAACTTAATTAAATCTGTTACAACTCTGAGTATCTCTGTGCTATATAAATGAACTCTGTTAAAGTGGAAATTCTCCTTCAGCTGGTGAGAGTTAATCTGGGATGTTAAAATCAATGGATGCAATTGAAAAAAATAATCAAGCCCAAATGGGTGAGGTTTATTTTAAGCTTAATGAGTTTATAATAGTATTTCAAAATTCTTTGTTAGTTATTTTTTCATCTAGTTCTTACATTTTATTTAACAGTAAAACTGGTAAGAGAAATGGGCTGGGTATTTACATTCATAGTGTACTTGCTGCAGTTCTACAATCTCTAAAAGTGACTGGATTTTGTTAGTTGTGCTGCTTTGGGAAACCCTGTAGCTGAATTAAATCACAGATATGTGTGTGACTTTGGTGCTAAATTATTGCAAAATAGCAAGTTTTTTAGCAGTATTCTATTGACTTAGAGAAAAGCAGTGGAGTCTCCACCCTTAGATGTATTCAAAGCTGTCTGTACATGCTTCTGGGCAATCATGATCCTGCATGAGTAGAGGACTTGAATGGGATTGTGCAGAAGTTCCTTCCAACCTCAGCCAGTGTGTCATTCTGTGAATGTGCAAACATTCCACCAAATCTGTAAAAATATACTTCAGGCCTACAAAAGGCTTGATCGTTTTTCAGAAATAGCATTTGAAACAGTTCTCATACCCTTCTTCCTCCATGCCTCCAGCTGTTACAAAGATTTTTCCTTGAGGCTTAGAAACTGTTCTTGATCTTAACTGCAGGTGTTATTTGCGCTGGATTTGTCAGCCAGGGGCTTGTACTGTGAAGGAAGAGAGCATTTAGGAAAGGCTTATAAACTTTACCTTTCCAGTATACACTAAAACTGAGATTCAGCTGAAGACATGGGGACATCTAAATTTCAAGAAAGCTGGCTCTGTGGTTTCCCACAAAGCTGTCTAACTTTATGAGGTATGCTCTGCTCTCTTAAGTTATGTGCCCACAGGTAGGTATGTAATGTCATTTAATGTGCCTTATGGTGGGGCTGGCAGATATGACTGAGAATTTATAAAATAAATTATAGATCTTATAAAAAATCTTTTTCTCTCTGCACTGGCAGCTGGAGTCTTAAGTAGCATCTAACATGTTTATGCAATTGCATCCCATCTGTTATTCACCTGACTCCCCCTTAATGGTTTATGGACTGGCTCTCATCCAGCTGCAATGGCAGTCTGAACACTCAGCTCACATGTAGAGTTTGTTTCTGGGTATTTAAATGTAGGCATCCTTTTAACTTAGTTAAATCCTGCTCTAGAATCCAATTGCTTAGTGCGAAAATGATGGTAAGGACTCTGAAAATCTGAATGCTTATTTAGAGAGTGCAAAAGCTGTTGAGAGCAGTGGACCTTGAGAAATTTTCTGCCATGCCACTTGAGATAAAACTGCTGTGGTCCCCTGTTGGAAGCTACCCAGTAGCAAGGCCAACCTTGTGTAATCAGTACACACGCATATGCACACTCAATTGTTCTCTGAGTAAAGACACAGCAAGCAGATGAAGCTGTGAATTGCAAATCACAAGAAATCATGAGATATTTTATTGCACGTCATGACTACAGCAAGTGAGTTTTCAAAATCTTAAAACCATAAATTACCTCTGTTAGAGTAAGATGTGTCACTGTTCCCATATAATAGACAAGAAAGCCTCCTACACAGTGGTACACAGTTAATAACTAGAAGTGATTATCTTCTAGTGGCTACCTACAGATATAAAAAAAAAAAAAAAATCTCTTTACAACAGGAAGTCTTGGTTTCTTAAGCTGTAGATCATCTTTTAGGTTTAGCAACTTGTTGAGGAAAAAGAGACTGCTACATTTCCAGATGATCCAAGCCACATCAGCATGCCTAACTATCTAAAAAAAGTGGTACTAAGAAAGTGATATTGTAAGAGTTAGAAAAGTGTACTGAATATAGTAAGCTTGGGGATTTTGGACTATACTGAGTTTCATTGTTGTTTATTTCATTATAGTAAAACTCTGGCATATAGGCAACAAATGATAAAAATATTTTTTGTTTGCAAAGGCACTAGATATTTAATAAGAGAAACTCTGTTTCTAAAGTTGAGATTGCACCCTGTGGAATTGTACTGCTGCAGAAATTGTAAGAGGCTAATGAAAGTTGCACATGGCAGTGATAAGTATCACATAACCGATGGTAATTTACATTTTCAGGTACTGGATACTATGAGGAAGGTCCTGTGTGGTATGAGACCTATGATAAATGAGAGAAAGATGGTCACCCTGTTTTATTAAGTTTCTCTAAGCC